CCTCTTGTCTGCTCTTTCCTCCACTTCCTCTGCCTCAGACTCCACCAGCTGCAATCAACCGGTATAGTAATTGTTGATTTGCCACTTTTGGAATTGACCATTTGGCATTTTATCACCGGTACATCCGTGCTGGGGAGACTGCTGTGAACGTACAGTATGTCTGTCCACAGGCACTTGGAGCGTTTCAACTGTAAACATACGCCGCCGCCATTGCGCGCACACTGACACATAAATATAGAGCAGGTGTGAAAGCGCGATCCCAAAAATTCGCTCGACGCTCGCTGTATTTCTTACGATTTCAACACAAATACACATCAAACAGCTTCCATCTTTGCTGCTAATTGAAGTACAGTGTTCACTTGTTGTAGAAATATTATGTCTCACTTCAAAACCGAGCTGTGTCACGCGAAATCACACAAAGACTGTCGAAATTCTCGCGTTCGCTAGCATTGCGCGCGTGATGGTAACAAGTTTAAGTACATGGCGGATGGCAGCGCACCGCCATCCGCCATGTACTTAAACTTGTTACCACACTTGTTACCAATATACAGAGACAGTAGAAGCCATTCTACGGGATTCTACAGGATTCACACTCAGCTTACAACCTAGGATTCCCGGCAAGCCAGGCAAGGCCACGACTGCCAGCGTATATAAGGACCGCCTGGGATCGACTCGGGGTGCTCCATTCTACCAGACGGCCAGGACACCGACCGTGTAAGGATCCAACCTTTACATTTTGGCGCAGTCGACAGGATAGTAGTGATGTGAACTGGTTCGTCGCGTACGTAGAGTGGAGGCCCTGGACAACAAGCTGTACATCAATGATCAAGCTAAGTACCTTCTCCAGTATGGGTATCGTAAAGTGTTCGTTGATAAGCTAGGAGACGTATTGTATGGCGCACGTAGCGTACAATGGTAGACTGCATAGTTCTTTCGACTTGCATCGCGCATGTCGTTATAGATAACCCTAATCCTAACCCTAACCCTAATCCTAACCTAAACCGACCAGGCTCTCCGACTAGTTACACAGCTCTCGCCACGTAGTGTTAAGCGAGATGGGAACTTGTGGCTAATCCTAACCCTAACCCTAACCCTAACCCCTAACCCTAATCGCGCATGCGTAACATAGGGATGACGCCCTGTCGCTAGCCGCATCTATACAGAGACAGTAGAAGCCATTCTACGGGATTCTACAGGATTCACACTCAGCTTACAACCTAGGATTCCCGGCAAGCCAGGCAAGGCCACGACTGCCAGCGTATATAAGGACCGCCTGGGATCGACTCGGGGTGCTCCATTCTACCAGACGGCCAGGACACCGACCGTGTAAGGATCCAACCTTTACATTTTGGCGCAGTCGACAGGATAGTAGCGGGTTAGGGTTAGGGTTAGGGTAAAATGTAAAATTCATGTTTATCAAATGTACTTGTACATGGTTTTAGTTCCATAACTCGCCGCTAGGGTGAATCGCGCATCCGTAACATAGGGATGACGCCCTGTCGCTAGCCGCATGTCACTCTTGCACTCACGTATTATACGAACTATATATACCAGGCTCGCAAGTTAGGATTGAGCAACAAATCGTAGGCACATTAGGGGTGGCGAACGTTGGATTTTCGATAATTTAACCTTGTAGTTGTACTCTTTTGTTTTTATTCACTCCTGATTCCTGAAAATACATACGAAATGGTGAGAAAAACTCGCACACCGCCCATAACGTAGACCCTAACGACTTACTCCGTTTGTAGATTCTTTGTCTGCTCTTTCCAGTAATTTTTCTCTTCTTCTACAGAACTGAATGACTTGCGTGCTTCCTCCATCTATACAAAAAGAAGGGACTAAGGTCACAATTTAGTGTATTTACATATATAATTACAAATGTTTTCAGCCAAACAAAATAGACTCAGCCATTTGGACTCAACCGTAATTTCTGATGACATCACAGAAACGAGGGCCCATATAAATCATGCGTGTCGTATCTTGTGGTCCTAGTCTATAATAATTATAAAAAGCTTGATATTTAGTTAGTTTCGCAAAATTTGATCATTAATATAATTTTAAAACACTAATATAACGCTAACAATGATTTTAATGTTGCTTACTTTAAAGTTAACGCCTGGCGTTTCAGTAGCACCTAAGCGGCAACGGCGAACATGGACGAGTCCGGTGAAAGTTGGATTGCGATCGTCTCAGAAAGTTTAGGAGCTCCTGTCGCTGGTTTGACGCTTATAGTATCACTATTCGCTGGTATGTATTTCAGACATACGGTCCTGGCATATCTCTAAAAAATACAAATAGCTTCTTTATAACTACTGTACTATGCCATTATAATTTATATGCTTCGCTAGGCTGGGCTATACACGCTTTCAAGAGCGTATAAAGAAGGAAAAGACTAATCCCCGGGCACTCTGGCAGGGCGAGCCCACAATGTAGGGGTGGTCGGGTAGGGTATGGTTAGGGTTAGGGTTTAGGTTAGGTTTAGGGATAGGGTTAGGGTCAGGGTTCAACTTAGGCCTACCTTACCCGACCTAGACCGAATAATTCTGTCCCATATAACCTTTTTTATATTTTGGTGAGGGTTATTATAGTTGGCGGACCAGAACGGGTTCATTGAAATTTCGTGAGATCGCATGCAAATTGCATGCGCTGAAATGCGGCCGCGTACCCGCTATTGGCGGGAAAAAAACCTACCGTTCCCTTCTACATGGCTTTACCTTGTTACTGATATGTGTATACATTCACTTCTTAAAAGATTGTTTTTCATAAACACCGCTCGTTCAACTTTCCTAAATTACATCGCATTTACAAACAATCAGACCAATCAGAGCGAGTCTTACAATAGCCCCTGGTTCTCGCTTGTATCTGTGGCGCTGCAGGAGCCTGATAGACTCGCTGTGATTGGTCTGATTGTTTGTAAATGGCGATGTAATTTAGGAAAGTTGAACGAAGCGGTGTTTATGAAAAACAATCTTTTAAGAAGTTAACATCGATTGAAGTGAATGTATACACATATCAGTAGCAAGGTAAAGCCATGTAGAAGGGAACGGTAGGTTTTTTTTCGAGCCAATAGCGGCGTACGGGCCGCATTCTCAGCGCATGCATTTTGCATGCGATCTCACGAAATTTCAATGAACCCCGTTCTGTCCCAAATATAACCCTCACCAAAATATAAAAAAGGTTATATTGGGACAGAATTATTCGGTCTATACCCGACCCTACCCTACCCGACCACCCCTACACTGTGGGCTCGCCCTGCCAGAGTGCCCGGGGATTAGTCTTACCCTATAAAGAAGGAGAGCGTACAACGGTGAAATGCTGAAACCATGTTGCAGTATTAGTCGAATTAATAAACTTTCCCTGTTTATTTTGACGATTCTTTGCAGTATTATTGATCAGCTATCCTACCTTGTTCCAGTAGCGGATTATCAATGGGCAAAGGGGGCATTTGCCCCGGCCCTACAAGTCGACCGGCCCTAAAGTGTTGTGACTACAAAAAACAAACAATTTATTATTTTTTCAAAGTATATCTTGGGCCGGCTCTACCATTTCATATGACTACATTTGTTTTTGCTTTCTACTTGTTTTCATTTTCTCCGTCTTTTGTGTGTACATTGCAGCAGCTAGGAATATTATTCACTTTAAGGTAGCTAGTGGGTTAAAACTACAATTTTTTAAAATATGATTTTTTTTAAATGTTAACTCTACTAATTATTTTAGAACGTTTCCTTCCATTTTTCAACATTAATTGCTTATAATTATCCACTAAACAGGTCTAAAAACATTATATGCTTATGGGAAGGGGGGGCGGGTGGATGGGCGGCCCAAATATATGATATGCCCCCGGCCCAGGCAACTGTTAATCCGGTGGCTGCTTGTTCATATAAAACAAACCGACATGTCCCCTACGATGCCCTACGCTGGCGAAAATGACGCGTGAAAATCTGGTATTTTCGCTGAACACCGACTCGCATTTATTTAGTCAGTAGCAGGGCCCTAGCTAGGATTTTTTTTCCTGTAGCCAAACAATTAGCCAGAATCAATTTCAATAGCCAATTTGGATTCCTGTTAGCCACATCTGTAGCCTAACATTTCTGAACACAAAAAGGCAATAAATAATTTTTTCTTATTCTTTATTTTCACAAACATTTTATATGCATAAGTGCAAACCTACACTTATTTAATGCAAACAAACTATTATTCACCACCTGTCTATTGACTGAGACACTAACACTATGATTCACGCACCATGACTCTGACTGACTGACAGAGACATTCAAATTGTCTGAATTTTTTTGCTTCACTGCAGGCAGGAAAAATCTTTTTTTGGGCACATCATAGACATAGCACTTTTCAAGTCAAACATCTCTTCTTCTGGGCCTTCATTTTGATGGTTAGAATGTCAGCAAACACTTTCTGTTTTCAGTTATTTCTCAGAGCTTGTTTTAACCAATTATGTCTGCTAAAACCCCTCTCACTTCAACTGTTGTAGATGGTAGGGTCAACTACCTTTTTACAGTAT